TGTACAACTCTTGATTTTGGCTCAGGTCATGATCCCAGGGTTGTGTGACTGAGTCCTGCATCAGGCTGAGCATGGAGCTTACTTGGGATTCTCTCTCTCTCTCTCTCTCTCTCTCTCTCTCTCTCTCACCCTCACCCTCACTCTCACTCCCCCTTCTTCCGCCCCTCCCCCCTCTGTGTGCATGTGTTCTCTCTCTCTCTCAAAAAATTGAAAAGCATGAAGAATTCTGTGTTTTACTGATTGGCATGCAAAGCAAAGTCTGAATAGAACTACTACTCGCACAACCTTAGTTGAAAGTTCACTTTTGCCTAGTAAATTTAAGTTCAAATTCTTAATTGGTGGTGGTTTACATATTTAAATTTATTATAAACTTAAAGGTATATCTTTTCTACTCTTATGGATTTAAGAACACAGATAATATTAAAACATACAGCATGGGACAGTTAAAATATTTTAAAAGGAAAATCAGGAGGCAGTTGCTTATGAAATGTCTACTTGTTCAGAAGCCTACAATGAGAGTTATTATAGTCCATTACTACATTTAACTTTATTTCTTGTTACCTAAGGTACTCCCCCCCCCCCAAACTTTGTATCTTACAATAGGAAGTTTATATTAGTCTGGAGAGGCAGCCTTTTCTCTTGATCATTTTCTGGATTAAAATTTTTGATAACTTTCTCTTTTTTAAACAGCTTTACTGCAATATAATTCACACCAATTTAAGTTGTACAGTTCAGTGATTTTTTAGAATATGCACAGAACTGTATAAGTATCACCTCAGTCAGTTTTAGATCAGTCTATCATACTGAAAAGAAACCTCTTATCTCTAAACTATCATTCCCTCAACCCCCCATCCTTCCTATCCCTAGACAACTACTAATCTATTTTCTGTCTGTTTATATTTGCCTGTTTTACTTAGCATGTTTGTAAGGCTCATCTGTATTGTAGCATGTGTCAGTATTTTTATTGCTGAATAATATAATATTACATTGTATCATACCACATTTCACCTATCCATTCAGTAGTTAATAGGCACTTGGATTATTTTCACTTTTTGGCTAGTATGAATAATGATTCTAGGACATGTGTGTACAAATTTTTATGTGGTTGAAAGTTTTCATTTCTCTTGGTACTTAGAAATGGGCTAGTTGGGTTATATGGGAACTCTGTAGACTTTTAAGGAACTGTCAGTCCATTTTCCAAGAGTGGCTGCACCATTTTACATTCCCACCAGCAGTATCTGACGGTTCCAGTTTCTCCATATCCTCAGTAACGCTTATTATTGTTTATCTTTTTTCATTGTTTGGTCATCCTAGTGTGTATAAAGTGGTTATCTCTTTGTGGTTTTGATTTGCATTTCCCTGATGGCTAATAATGTTGAACATCTTTTCATCAGATCCTTTGCCCATTTTTTAAGATTGGCTATTTGTCTTTTTATTGTTGAGTTGGGGTTCTTTAAATATTTTAGATATAAGTCCCTTATCAGATGTATGATTTGCAAAAAATTTCTCCCATTCTGTAGGTTTTATGCTTGCTTGTTAGTATTCTTTGAAGCACAAAAGCTTTTAATTGTGAAGTCCAATTTGTCTGTGATTCATAGGGTTTTGACTAGGGAGCCTACGTGGGTAGGGTATGCAAGAAGAGGAGTTGGCTTGAGGGTGAGATGAATTCAGTTTTGTATATATTTAGGTCCTAGTAGGACAGTTAATTGGAAAAGTTGTTATAGGAGGCAGTTAAATGTGAGGCTGGGCTCATAGAAAAATGTTTTCAGTGGTAATTGAGGTGAATGAGATCATTTAATGTGAAAAGTTCATGGTCTTGGAGAGTATAATGGAGAATATGGAATGAGAGGAGGAATGCCTGGGAAGAAGCTACCAGTTAGGAAGAGAGCCTTGTGAGACTATGATCACAGGCCAGAGGAGGGAGGAAGTTCTTAAGTTGTACCTGTACTGTTCTCTTAGGCACACAGACTCAATTTTTTCATCCCTTTTTAGCTTTCTTATTATCCAGCACATTGTTGTATACTTTCCATGGACATATTTTTCTTATTTGCCCCAATTTCTTTACTTCCTAAGCCAGTAATTCCTAAGTTGGGCATACATCAAAATCAGTTGGCCAGCTTTAATTTTAGTGTCCTATTAGACATGCTGAATAAGGATCACCTGGGGTAATGTCCCAGAATCTGTATTTTAAAACCTCTTAAAGAGTGGTTTGCTCTTCACCAGGCTTGTTTCCTTTTCTCTTGGATCCTAACTAACTTATATTTTCCAGCCCTTCTTGCATTGGGAATGGCCGTATGATTGAGATATGGCCACAGGAAATTAAGCAGAAGTGTTGAGTGTTTCTTCAGCCCTGGCAAATACAAACCTTTCTTGAACAATCCTCTCTTCTCTCTTCTCCTCTCTCCTGCTGGCTGGGTGTTGTCTGCCAAAGCAACTTTGGAAATGATGGGTCCAAGGATGCTGAACTTCTGTCAGCCTGGGTCATCTCCAGCCTCCTCATGCCCACAGCTGATCATTAACATGGATTTTTGGACTTCATGTAAGCATGAAATGAAAATAAACTATTATGTCACACTTTGGGATTTATCTATTATAACATCCATTGTTACCTTAGTCAATATAACTCCTTATCTCATTAACTACAAATTCTGTGTTGGGATCCATTGCCTTTGGTTTGTACTGTTTTGTATCTTAAAACTCATTTATATGGTAAGTTAGTCTTCAGCTGTTGACTTCCAGACCTTATACATTAATATTGTGTTTTTTTGGTAAAAATTTTCATGGAAATGATTATAATGGACATTCTGATTATTTTATTATCTAACAAACATTTGTATGCTCGCTATCTCCTGGTCCTTGATACTAGGGATACAGTTGTGTTTAAAATGTGGTCTTTATCTTCTAGTATGGGATAAAATGGAATTAGATAAGGGTAATTATCTACATGTGCTTTGAGAGCATCAGGGGAGAAACGGCTCATTGAACCCAATAATGGAGTTGGGGGTCCTCAAAGTTATCTTAAGGGAATTTTATTTACCCATGTTCCTTTTGTAATCTTGTGCTCTCTTCTCATTGGTAGATAAGGGCCATACATAGCGTATATAACTTTTAGAGGAGCAAACAATACAAGTCATTTTTGATAGATTTGTGTTACATGTGGGTACTTCATTTGAGTGTGTATTTTTTCTTTTTTTAAAATTTTCTTTAATGTTTATTTACTTAGAGAGAGAGAGAGAGAGACAGAGTGCAGTAGGGGAGGGGCAGAGAGAGGGAGACACAGAATCTGAAGCAGGTTCCAGGCTCTGAACTGTCAGCACATAGCCCATGCAGGGCTTGAACTCATGAATTGTGAGATCATGACCTGAGCAAAAGTCAGATGTTTAACCGAGTGAGTCGCCCAGGTACCCTTTTCTTTTCTTTTTAAAGTCCGTTTAGTTTGAGTTAGACCGAGACCATGTGAATGGGGTAGGGGCAGGGAGAGAGAGCATCCCAAACAGGTTCCACACTGCCAGTGCAGAGCCTGACTTGGGGCTTGAACTCATGAAACAGCGAGATCCTGACCTGAGTCGAAACCAAGAGCCAGCCACTTAACCTTAGACTGAGCTGCCCAGGTGCCCTATGTGCATATACTTTTTCTTAATCTCTACACACCAGGAAAGTATAGAATACTTAATTTAAGAGAACTGCAACTCTTAGTCTTGGTGCAGATTATATTGTTAAACTTTTCCTGCAGTTAACTAAAGTTGGGTTTCTTTGTTGTTTTTTGCTTTGTTTTGTTCTTAAAGAAATAATATGTGTTGTTGTCTTTTCCTTTTGAGGGAACTTTCTGATTAGAAATGGTGAAAGTCAGAAAGGACCTACTTACTATGAGTGTTCTATCTTATTAGTGTAAGTTAGGAAGAAGACAGATAATTCAACCAGGACTTTGGGGGAAGGAGGGAGGGATGGGGGAGAGAGAGAGAGAGAGAGAGGGAGAAAATAGGTAAACAAGAGCCTTCTATATTGACTAGTTCTCTGAATGGTGAGAGGCTTCCTCCAGTTTTTGAAAGCTTACATGCTGGCAGTGTGTAGTTCCAAAGTGTTACCCTGGGTCATGCCAAAGGGTGAGAAGAGTGTCTCTGGGAGAACTAAAAACAGGTAGGCAAGTGATGACCACAACCTGAAGAAAAGGAATTGAACTTGAGGGTTAAAAACAGTTGCCTTTTAAGGGATGTAAAAGCAAACTGCAGCATCCGGAGTGAGCAGTGGAGTTGAGATCAGATGAATAGATCACATTAGCAAGTGTAGTATTTGTCAGGTAGATCCAACAAGTCGCCTCATCCAGAGTACAGGTTAGCAACTGGCATGTCTGTTAGAGCTTGAATGATTCCTACAGAGAAGATGTCTGAAATCAAGGGACTTCAGTAGATGAACCCAAAGGGCTATAACCTTTCAGACTTTCTCATTTGATACTGTAGCAGGGAGAAGGAACCTTGTTGGAGTATTTCCCAATTTAGAAACTTGTCAAGAGGTGTAAATGAATACAGTATAGATGTACTATAGAAATGTTCTGGAAGATTGTATACATGTTAAATAATGGTTAATCCACTCATTTAACAGTTTGCAATTTTTCAAGGTGCCTGGGTTGATTCAATGGCTGACTCTTGATTTTGGCTCAGGTCATGATCTCATGGTTCTTGGGTTCAGACCCCACTTTGGCCTCTGTGCTGGTAGTGTGGAGTCTGCTTGGGATTCTCTGTTTCTGTCTCTCTCACTCTGTTGCTGCCCCTCCCTTGCTCACACACACATTCTCTCTCTCAAAATAAACATTAAAAAATTGTTTAAAAAAGAGCAGCTTTTCTATTTTAATGAAAGTTATGGTAAATTACTTTAAATATAGAGTCTGTTAATAAAACAAATTATTCTTCAGTTTATATTTTACCATAAAGCTGAAATTGTATATACCACCTTCACTTAAGTTTAGATATACTGACTGTTCAACTACTCTAGATGGCCAGTAACATATGGATTATTTTGGATGTCCTGCTGCATTTTTGGTTTTAGAAACTCCTTTGTTTTGGCTATTGAATTACTGCTTTTCAGATGTCACTAATCAACCTGGTTTTTCTTTTCCTTACTAGCAATTTCTACTTTCTAAGACTTCTATTAGACTATAAGATTCTATTATGAAGTCAAATGAACTTTTTACCTGCTCGCCTTATAGTTTCTTTAGCATCTTGTAGCCACAGTTTTGAACATAGGATTTCTCTTCTCTGACTACAGCTTCTTCTTTGTTGGTTGTCCTTCTTCCTCACCCACAGTTAACCTGAGCTTTCCTGTATTGGAACCTACTTTACCTAGTCTGCTAGGTTTGATTTGGCTACAAACTGGCCTTGTGAGAAGCTTTGACCTCCTGGTTTGAGCAGGACTGGTTAGGGTAGTGTTTTCTGAAGCATGGGAAAACTTTTACTACTGGTGTTTTTCTTGAGATTTATTGTGAGTGACCTATCTACTTTGATTACCAGATGTTGGCTGATATTTCCTTGGTTCCAATCCAGACTCATGAGCATAGCCTGGTATCCTACTTCATTCTCATTTTCCTCTGTCCTGTTCGGGAATCTCCCAGCTCACAACATTGCAGCCTTTCATGATAGCTGTTCTGTAGGTGTCATTTTGTCTCCTTCCACACCCTTCTCTGTTCCCTTCAACTATCACCTTAATCCTACCCATCTTGCTGCTTTCATTTCTGCTTTTCTACCTCTGCCTCCTTTTCTTTTAATCCTTTTTGACCCAGCCTCTTGAACCTCAGCTCCTAACTTACACACAGTCTCTTCCTCTTCATCTTTCTTCTGCCTTTTACAACTTGTCCATTTTCCCCACTTCCACATCCTTCTCAGGCTGGATCCTTTCCTCAGCAAGCCTTGTTTCTCAGCGTGGGAACTTTCCCTGAGGCAGTTCCTTCCCTTAGTGCAGTTATGTCAGTCTTACATCCTATCCTCTAGATTTTATACTCCTGTCTTAGCTCCAGTGTTACCCTTTTACCTTATAGCTCCATTCTTCCCTGCAGCTTTGTCAGGCAAGAGAAGCAAAGGACTTTAAGAAAAATGTTAAGTAAATAATAGTGGATGTCACCATACATGGGTATGGCAAACAGTTATGATCTTAATTGAATGTCTGAAATGGTAGACCACTGCTTTTAATTCTGGCTCATTAATTTATCACCTCTGTGACCTTGGGCCAGTTATTTCACTTGAATTTGAGCTTTCTCACCTAAAATGGGAGATAATAGTGTCTATCTCACGGAGTTACTAAATTAAGATAAGAGTGTATAAAAACTCTAATACATAATATTCACTAAATGGTAGCTACTTTTGTACTGAAAATGACTTTGGTTTGAGTGATCTGGGCAGCTCTACATTTGTCTTATTTTGTGACTTTGGGCAAAGAAACTAAATCTGAGCCTGAGGTTGGTTGGTTTTAATATCTTTTTTTTTTGAGATACAATTGACATACCATAAAATATAATACCCATTTAAAATATAGCCATTTAAAATATACAGAGCAGTGTTGTTGTTTTTCTCTCTTTATTTTAAAGTGAATTCACGGAGTTGTGTCACCATCACTATAGTCTAATTTTTTAAAACATTTTTCTTGCCTCAGAAAGAAGCCCCGTACCCAGCAGTCACCCCATTCCTCCTAAATCCCCACCTATCCTCTTCTCCCACCCTGCCTTTCCCTTAGCCTTAGGCAACCACTACCCTCCTTTCTGTTTCTATGCATTTGCTTACTGTGGACACTTGATATAAATAGGTCATAAAGTAGGTAATCTGTTATGATTGGCTTCTTTCACTTATAAAGTTTTTGAGTTCATTGATACTGTAGCATGTATCAGAAGTTCATTTCTTTTTACTGCTGTATTGGGTTGTTTCTACTTTCTGAATGAAGTAAAATGGGCATGGCGGTATCTTCATTGAATTGTGAGAATTGTGGCTATGTTGATAAGAGTATGTAGTATGTAGTAGTTGCTCAATAAAGGATCACTTAGGCAAACAATTTAAATTGTATTCCATTGACTTTCTCAGTCAACTAATTGATTACTTCTACTATATATATTCTCTTGTTTTAGTTCTGGGACCACTGAAAATTGGTGATGAAAGTAAGGAAACCCAAGTTGAATATATTCCAGTTTTCTGATATCTAACTTCAGTTGCACTTTCAAAGCTGCTTAATCCTTATGATTTCTTTTCTGTAGCCATTAATCTTCATTTCTGTCTTCTCCATTTTAACATGTAGTTGTGCCTCCTAATTTACTAAGAAAAGAGAAGTCTACCTAACTAACCATGTAAGCTTTCTTATGGATCTCCTTCCTTGCTTTCTTATGGATCTCCTTCCTTATTGCAGATCCTTAATTTCTACACTTAGCTTTTTTCCTCTATTTTCTTTTTCGTATTTTGGCTGAAAGAAATGAATACACATTTTTCTTTCTCAGAGCATTTTTCTGCTGTAATCCTATTCAGATCC